CCAAAAAAAAAAAAAAAAAAAAAAAAGATTTGCACCTCAACCATAACAAACCAAAACTATATCTTGGCAAAGAATATTTTCTTTCCGCCAAGGTTTTTACCAAGAGAACTAAAACAGATTGAAACTTTACCTCCCTTCCCTGCTCTTTCTTTCCCTTGTTTGTAAATACCAAACATCAACAAACCAACTAAATGGGAGGACAAAGAACTGAGAAGCAAAGGTTAAAAATCAGTTAAGATAAACTTGGCACATTTAATTGTTGGGAGTGAACTAAATTTGTAACCACAATATCCAAATCATTTCCAATTAAGATTCCATCTAACAACAACTCTTGGGATCTAAGCAGTGAAAAGTTCTGGAGTCAAACCTATTGGATCTATTACTTGCGCGAGTGACCTCATGCAAGTTCTTTAAACTCAATACCCCTGTTACCTGTAAAACAGTATCTTCTCCACTGAGTTATTTTTAAAACTAAATGAGATTATGCAAATAAAAAGTTATCAGTCAATCACCGTGCAAATTCTTATTGATACCATTAAAAACAACAACAGTTAGCACAACACAATTTAATCCCTTCCTACCATCCTTAGCAGGAAAAAAGCAAAGGAAAACCAGAGGGAAGGAGAGAGTTGTCAGCACAGCAAACTCTTTGTAAGAATATTTAAAAACTGCTAAGGGGATGAAATTGGAAAGGCTTTCATTTTTTAAATTTCTATCTCACTTTATTTAAATTTCCAAAAGGGGTAGAACTACAAATAATTTTTATTATTAATGTGTCTATTCGCATTTTTCATATAAAATACATAATTTGTGTTTCTCAGATTCTTTCAATTAAACTATATATTATGTACATTGGATACACTGAACAGAAGATACAACAAAAAACCATGCTTTTCTGTTTTCTAATTTTGTACAATACGAATGTATGACTATTAGAAAATTGTTTTTAAAACCACTAAATATAATGAGCAAGAATGCATGCTTTAAACTTCAGAGATTTCTGAAAGGTTCAATCCACAAGATCTAGCACCTACTAAAGTATAAAGTACAACTTTTACTCTGGCCAAGTTTACTCTAGTAAGAGAACTAACAGACTAAAAGCAAAATGCCCCTTAGAAGGTGCCAAGTGATCTAACAAGAGAAATAACCCTATTCAGGGGCTTTGGTCCATATTACTTTTCAGGATATGATTCTACTTCCGGATAGCTTTCGATTTTTTCCTATGTCTATGAAATAAGTTTAAATATATTTTAAGGTACAGAATAGAAAAAAGGCTTTTACATCTTTGGGAAAAGTTCATCCCTGCATGCTAATTGTCTCTGAGTAAGCATCAAGGAAATCAGAAACAGTGGCAGGATCTAGTGATACGACCTAAGCGGGGAAATTAGATGGGCAAAATAAACAGAGTTTATGTGCTTTCACTTTTGCTTGACATTTTAATCCAAATCGATTCTTGGGAAAAAAAGAAAGAAAGAAATCTACAAAATACGCCTAACTCCAGAAAGCTGGGAAAGGGGAAGAGAGAAGGAAACGTTTACCTGAGGCATCTCCCACTTTAAAATCACTGTCATCTGAACTATCATAATCGAGAGCTTCCAGCAGAGAAGCTGCCAAAGGCTTCACCTGCCTCCTCTTGGAGCTGCGATCCACTGTTAAAAAAAGAAAGGACATCATCACTCATCATCACCCTGGGACGGGAGCGGTGCAGAGGGCGGAGGGTGGGGACCTCGCTCAGGGAATCGCTGATTGATTAGTTCTCAGCACAGGGGTCCAGGAGGCTGGACTGGAGTGGGGAGGAGATGCGGGCTGGGAGAAGGGACGCACGGTCCAGGAGGGCGGGACGTGGGTCGGGGGACAGACCCGGCGGCACGGGGACAGCGCCAGTCCCGGAACGACGCCCACCGATTTGG